AAACGATCAAATATAAGCTCCGCAGTGAATCTTCATGCGTTCGTTAAAGTATGGGTTTTGAGATCGAAATTTTGATCAAGTTGTTGTCATTTGCTTGCAGTGGAATCATATGTGGGCCGTATCGGGTCAAGTAGTCCAACTTCTGTCCGGTTATTTGACACAAACACCAAAATCCTTTTAGTTTGGTGCCGGTTGTCATTTTTGCTCAATGTTTTAATTTTTACCCTTGAGCTAAATAAAAATAAGTGGCCAAAAATATTTTCCATGATATAAGTTTATATTTTCATAAAAATTGCTTAATTTGTATGGAACTTATGTCGAGGTAAAAGTTTAGTTCACAACTCATAAGTTATATCATAGAAGACATAACTTAGTTCCTACATAACTTATGTCAACTGAAGCAAACATCAGTTTTAGATTCCACAAGTTATGTCATATATAAGAGGCATAACTTATTCTTATAAAACTTATGTCGCAAGGCAAAAAAATTCCAAACTCATATAGAGCGGATTAGATACTATTAAAACTTATGCCGGATAATTTAAGACAGATATTTTCTAAACTTATCTCGAGCGAAATTAGGTCATAAATAAGGATTTTTTGACCTACAAAGTTTTATTAAATGACCAATAGGGACAAAGATTAAAAATCATTATATTTGAGGATAAAAATTAAAGCTCATCCTGAAAGAAAATGCAAGTGCAAAACTTCACTTTTGTTGCCAAGTGTATTATTACGTGTCTTTTACAGTCTCTTATATACAAATAAATTAGAAAGAAAACAACAAATAAACATTTTTCAATCATGATTTTGAAGTTTTAAATTCCACAAATAAACAGATAGTGTTAAGTTCTTTAAAACAAGATTTATCAACCTCTTTTTATGGAGCTAGATCACATCCTCTTTTTAGATCCAACTTTTTTAGGTCCCTATATCAAAATATTGAAATGGTTCTGCGATAAGAGAGACTCAACTTTTGATTCCATATTCAATAACTGACGAGTTCAATTCTCTAGTACACTATTTTTGAACTTTAGTGTATATGAGAATAGATATGATCAATAGATTTTTCAAGGTTCAAATCACTTCATGTGCTATTTTTAGTTTGTTATATATAGGAAGAAATATCTGAAAGTGTATCTAATGATGTAATCATTAATCGTTTTTAAAATATGATAATTTATCGAGTATGTACAATTATAATGGCAATGTCTATATTCATATGTTATGTTTAAAATTTTGTTACTTTTTAAGTAAACGTTGAATATTAGTACACATTTTTAGTCTAATTATTATTAATTATTTAATTTAAAGGCGTAGTAGAAATTCATAAACTTTAAATTTTGAATATATCTTTAGGTAAACTATGTGTTTTGTCTTCCTATGGTGAAAAGCTTTTATAGCCACATAAAAATTATGTCATGTTTAAGACCACATACAAGTTTCAATTTAAATTTTTTACAATATCACAATTATTATAATAAATTTTTTTTTCCACAAAATGATTTTCATTTTAACACATAAGTGACAGAGATCTGAAAAGATTATTTTCTTCTATTCAATTTGTAAGTGGTCATAAGAGATCATCTTCACAAGAAAAAAGACATAGTGACACAACTCTCAACTTGATCAAATATGTAAGATTTAAGAGTACCACATCTAAAGATAGCTAGTCTTCATAGTAAGGTAAAAATCATATCAAAAATTGAAAACTCTCAAAGGAAATGACAATAAATTCCTCTTAACTTCTTTCCATAGGGACATACAACAACCAACCAACATCAAGGAACTGTGGTCGTTGTCCCAAATAAGGATTTAGCTTTTCTATATCACCAACTTTAGATGAAAGAAGATCTACAATACTTGATAAACTATCAAATTCTTGTACTGTATAAGTAACAATAGGCTTAGAATCATCCTTTTCTCCACATCCACAGACGAGATGGAAGGTTACTTCATCTCCAACTAGATAACTTTTCTCTTCTCCTCCAACTTTCCAAGCTTCCCCACTATAAATTTGTCGCGATACATTAGGAAATGTATCGCCAGGCTGCAACGTGTACAATGTATCGTAGAAGTATCCGATGGTACCATTAACATTTTTGCAAGTACAAGGGACTGTGACTAGATAGTCTTGTTTCCCTCGCAAGTGACCAATTGGCTCTATTTGTGACTTGTTGACAGAGTAAAATGTCGCGATTTGGTCTTTGTTGAGACCATTGTGCTGGTAAAGTAGAGAGCTACACGTCTTGATTTGATTCGAGCAAGGAAAAGGGTGTATTTGAGACAATTGAGCTGGAACGCCAAATACAAAGTTTCTTAACGATGAAAAGAATTGAGGGAAGAGTAAAACTAGTAGAACTAGTAATGCATACTTAGAAGACATAGCTATTGCTTTAATGTCTTTCTTGTGAGATTATGAAGAATAAGAAGTTATATATATATATATATATATATATATATTCCCTATATACATATTAGAAAAGGAATGTGTTTGATTTTTCTAATGCAACAAGACCTAGTTTTTATACAAATTTTGGCTGCATTATGCAGGCTAACATAACCTATAAGCATCAAAATTAACGCGACCACATACAAGATGTTACATCACTTGTGTTGGACATAAACCCGCAACAAAAATAATATTTAGTGATAATAACTAGGAATAATAATATATCACTGAAATACAATGATGATAAAAGAGCAATAATGATACTAAGATTCTTATTTGTTTTCTTCTTTTTTTCTTTTTATTGTTCTCCTAGCAACTAGGGAAATGAGAAAAGAAAAAAGAAACATAAATTAAAGTTGTTAGATATGTCAGGAAGGACCCCCCTTGTTTTGAGGGTTGACAAGATTATTAGTCCAACCAAAATGAAAATAACTACCTAAAGATTTTTAAGGTTTACAGGCTATTAACAATGATAGCCTCAAGTTATTCCCAGTCAAAGCTTAATAAGTTTATAAATGGGAAATATTGAATATCAATGAACAACATTAATGCTATTAGAAAGATGGCAGCGAAGGCGAGGATTTTCGCTGGTCTTTTTCTTATTTGCATTGTCCTCCCTTCGCTGGCCTCAGCATTTGTAGATCATCTACCTGAAGTTGGCCAAGTAAACGAGTTCGATAACAATGATGTACCGATCCATGTTAGTACTGTCACTCACTTCAGCGAAAAGCAAGTTAAGGAGGCATTGATAAGAAGGGCAAAGGCAATGCATGATCTGTGGGCAAATTTTCGTTATAATGATAAGAATGCTGCACCTGAAGAAGATGCTGCACCTGTAACTCCAACGCCTGTTGATCCAACACCTGTGCCTGTTGACCCTGTTCCTGTTGATCCAACACCTAATCCTGTGCCTGTTAACCCTGTTCCAGTTGATCCAACACCTAATCCTGTGCCTGCTAACAATGTGCCAGCAGGATATCCGGGAGCAACTCAAGGGCCGCCTGTGGCAATGGGATATGGGGGTGCACCTATAACACAAAATCCATCAGACCAACAAACTGTGCCTGAACAGCCAGGTGCTGCTCAGAACCATCCAACACCGGAAGAAATTAAAGAGAATCGCAAACATGCTGGATTGCAAGTGGGATTTTCCGATTACACTTGCCCGAATGCTGAGAAGATTATTAAGGATGGAATGACCAGAGCTTTTGGGAATGATTCCAGCATGGCTGCTCCAATTCCACGTCTTCTGTTCCATGATTGCTTTGTCAATGTAAGTTTTCAGTCTTTACCTCACTGTGCAGATTCTACAATGTACACCTCTGAAATAGGTTTTGCTATGCTTTCTTGACAATGACAACCAAAAGAAACCTTAAAAGTTTAATGAAAATTCATTTATCTAATGTACAGGGATGTGATGCGTCTCTATTCTTAGACAAGACGCCAAGTGGTGCAAGGGTAGAGAAACTCGCCCCCTCCAATGGTGCAACAGTTAGGGGATTTGAACTCATTGACGAGATCAAGGCTGACCTTGAGGCAGAATGTCCTGGCATAGTCTCATGCTCTGATCTTTTGGTATACTTGTCAAGGGATGCCTTTGTTGTATCAGGTGTCCCTTACTACGATGTGCCTGGTGGACGTCGTGATGGAATGGAATCCCTTGAAGCAAATGTTCTTGGAAACCTCCCACTTCCTGATAGTACAGTGGACAAGATGATTGACCTGTTTAAAAAGAAAGGTCTGAATGAAGAGGATTTGGTTGTCCTAATTGGTGCCCACTCCATTGGAGTAGCCCATTGTTTCAGCTTCCGTTACAGAGTGGATGATCCAGTGAAGGCTACTATGGTAGATCCAAGACTCGCTGGAGTTATGAAATTCACATGTACCAGCCCAATGAGTACTCTGGCTTTTGATACCACCACACAGTACAAGATGGACTCCATTTACTACAAACAGCTGTCGGGGAAGAGAGCATTGCTTGAATCTGATGGACTTTTGAATGAAGATCCCAGAACAAAGGACTTTATCCAGAAGTTTGGTGACGATGAAAAGGGATGGTTCACTAAGTTGGGTAAGGCCATGAACAAGTTGGCTTCAATACAAGTGCTCACGGGAGACCAGGGGCAGATCAGGAAACAATGCCGGTTTGTCAACTAAAACCTGGATATAAGTCTCTAACATGCATCAAAATTGAATTGGTTCTTCACTTCATTTCCCCCCCTAAATTTTCCATGTTTTACTTAGAAACTCATAGGACTAATTTAACAAACATACAGACGGTGCATGAGGGGTGTAGGTTGCTCATCTGCAACAAATTAAACACTATGTACAAAGCAATTTTTTGTCTGAAATTAAATCATAATTTTGAACTTTTTTTACTCGAGATAGCTAATCTAATTGCTTCAAACCAACAATTCACAGGAAAAAATGTCCAGTACAAGTTACAACTGTTTGCTTGTTTTGATGTAGTTTATAAGTAAATTGCAAAAGAGAATGAAAAGAACTCCCATGTTTCAAAAATTAAGAGGAAACCAAGCTATGCTGTGTATATATATATGTGTCAGCCTCTTGGTGCAGCTACAGTACTGTATTATCTCCCAATTCATGGATGACTTTCTCAATTTTGACCAGCATATCTGTCAATATCAGGAATTCTGCCAATTAGTACTCTAAACCAGTCAAATCAGATCTGCATATGGCTGCTTTATTCAACTGCGAGTGATCATATTTACAACTCGTGTAGATATTACTTAAGCAACAATTTTGACCATGGTTCGATGATCACTTCAAGAACAATGCCTTTAAGGTTTTCCCATCCAGTAAAAGGAAAAAGTAGTTAAATAAAAAGAAGAATGAAATATCAGATGATGGGCAAGTTCCACCGACCAAAACCTGGAAAAGGGCCTCAAGTATTTGAAGACATACCTTGGAATGAAGAATCTTCAAGATATTTCTGCAAGAATTAAGCAGGTGGATCATACATTGGAACATAGGTAGCTCTAAAAGTTGGAGCCAGCCAGCCATTTAAAATTTTCAGAAAGCAGAACTTTAGCTGATCTTTATACAAGATCTAAACAGAAATCATACCGCAATTTGGTCTTTGAGGTCAACCTCCTTCGTCATACTTGACTGTGCAGCAACTGCGTCCAGTTAACAATTATTAATGGTGTTAGTTTTGAATCAGAAAGTAGAGAACGTCATGACAAGTTGACCGATGTGAACCACCTTTATCAATTTCAGGGCAGCAGTTCGTCAAGAAGGAGGTGAAACTGGGAGGAAAAGCTGAAAGAATCTCGTCAGCTTCACGACTTAGTTTCATTTCCTCTTTATGTGAATCTTGAGAAAATTCAGGTGCCAAGGTCAGAGGCATGTAATGGGGAGTAGAGTCACCGGAAGCTGCACATATCCATCCTTCGTTGTCCCTGAGAAAATCACACCTTCAGTAAATCATACATTAATAGCTTAATATGGTAAACTCTACATATCTTGAGATGGGAGTATGTGTTAAAACAACTCTGGTATATGTCACCTGTGTGAAGCTCCATCCAAAGGATTAAACTCAGATTGGGAAGATATTGCTGAATCAAATTCAGCACATGGAAGAGGTTGAGGATTTGCATTGTCCAACTTTCCCTAAGAATGTCACATACGAAAACCATAGGAAGGAAGAAAGTTGTAAATTATTTAGGAAACAAAACTCACTATCTGAGAGAAACTCATAGAGCACATCATAGAGATTTAAGTACCTTTAAAACATTCATGAAATTCTCTATCTCATAGATTGTCAAAAACCGCAGGATGAATTTCTGAATCTGCAAAAACAAAAGGACAATTGAAGTCCAACATTATTGGTTTTATGCATAGAACCTTGCATATAACTCCCTTTATAAGGATTAGGAAATGAGGAAACTCTGACAATCAACTTATCCATTTCGAATTGTCCAGTATGACAAAGCTTCGATAGAATAATATCCTAACTTTGCAAGTTAAAACATGCATTACAACTATGAAGCTTGAGTGAACAATACAATGCCTGTAACATTTACATGAACTGAACTTCTCAGGCTATGCGCTTTCTGAAGAACTGTCTATTATCTTAAGTACCAGATGGTACAGACTTGGATAAAATGCATTACTTAAGTTACAGAGCCCAGATCTGAGATGGTTCAAATTCTTTAACCAAAGGATATCACCACTCTCATGTCAAGTTATGCACCTAAAGAGACTTGTTGAGGACAATTATCTTACTAGAATAACTAATAGACATGGTAAACTAGCTAATTCAAGTTTCTTCCATGCAATATTTCACAACTATTTGCCTTTCTCCTTTTCTTATTATAACTTCAGCTATTGTTCACCTCACCTCCATTAAGGTTTACATCTCTTGAGCTACTTCCTTTTTAATCCACTTCTTAATCTCGTTATTTCTCTAGTGTAGTTTTCCTAGAAAGAAGATGTTTTAGCTGAAAAGAATAGGGGTTTAAAGAAAGCTTGAGGTATAATTAACTATGACTTCCAAAAAAAAAAAAATGCTCACCTGGCCAACAGAATCCCTATAGCTCACGAGGATGGCTCTGCTTCCTCTTGCTGGAAAACCTGATACACATGATACCTGAGGCCATGAGAACATCAACCGTGAAATGTAATGCTCTTCCTGTGAGAAGTAAAAAATGAAACCAGAAAAAAGTCAGAAGCATGGGATTTCTCTTTTAGCTTCTCATGCAGAAACTGTCACATCATCTAAGAGTTATGAACCACAGCAAGTAACATCCATTGCTTGTAGAACTGTAAGACGGCTATGAAAAAACAGAACTGATAATGTAAAAGAATAATGTTTGTGGTCGGCATGAAAAAACTCTTCGAGCTGTGTAAGACAAGTTTATCTCACAAACAATGCATAACAACTGTGCCACATCATATGCTACCAAACAGAGAATTAGTACACCAAGAATACATTAGGCCTCTAGTATTCAAGAAAAACCAGCATTGGCCCTCCTGCAATAGTTTCAACAATGCACTTAAACCTATTCATGATTGCTTCTGCATTTCTCTGTGCCCAGTGATATTTTTACGATCAGCAATAAAACTTTCCCTCCTGGGAAAAGAAAGCAACATTAATTTGCCTAACATAGCAAGAAGAAATTGTTTGGTTCAAGCAATTGCGGTGATTATTTTGCCAATTTTAAACAAACCCAGAACACAACTTTTGCATTCAACAGAAACAATACCAGTTCTCCAACACAGTAAAAGCGAGATCACTTAGTGTTAACAAGTTCATGCAAAAATTAATTGACTCTACAATTTAAAGGTACATTAAGATAGAAAAAAACAATTACATCATAAATTTCACGATGGTAATAACATCGGAACTCGAAAATTATGCACGTTTATTTTCAAATTCAACTAGATCCTTCAGAAATTCAGCAAACAGATGCATCCATCCTAATAACAAGGAGAAACAGAGGGAAAGCAGCTGATGCTCAGAGTCTCTGTGAACGAGAACGAACACATGGAAGAAACCGCGAGAAGAGATAAATCAAATCTTAAGATCTACTTATCAACAAATTCAAACTAAAATTAACTACTAATAGTACTATATAATGGAATGTTTTCACCAAATTAAAAGAAATTGCATCATAAGTTCACAATCAGGTGACAACTAACATTCAAATTCAGAAGTTATGCATTTTCATTTTCGATTTCAACTTCATCCTTAGAGCAACTGAGCAAACAAATTTTATCAATCAAAAAAGGAAACACGAAAACAAAACTAAATTAGTTGTATCGCCTACAAGGACTATAAATTTACTATAAATTCAAAGCAACATCAAATTAAAACAAAATTTTAGATTAAAAAATTCACAAACAATGGAAAATAAGTTCGAAATTGTACGTTTTCTAATTCACTTCATCCTTTAGAAACTCAGTCGACAAATATATCAATCAATTAGGAGAAATAGTAATAGAATTGAAAGTGCTCACAAGGATTCTGTCACAGAGAGAGACGACGAGGATGCAACCGCCATTAGGATCAAAGCTGTTAGTGCGGAGTTTGAGAGAAACGATGGAGGCAGAGGAGATCCATTTGCCGCGTTTACAGTACTTCCGTCCGATGGAAGAAAGAGAGATGAGAGACGAATGAGAGGAGTGAGGAGAAGCTGGACAGACAATGAACCGAGCATACTGAACTTCCCAGTGGTTGGTTACGGTAGCGATTGACATTGAAGAAGGCAGCGCCGCCTGCTCTGCCGCCGTAATCGGTGACCGTGAATGTGATCCCGCCATTTTTCAAAATTTTAGTTTGGAGTTCTTAGTTGTTTGCGGCATATACTAGCTTAGATCATGCTGAAAGCAACACTTATATACAGCTAGTAAAGTACCTAATTCTGTTAGGGGTCGATTTGGTACAAAATTTGGAATTCACTTTATTTTATATTTAGTGAGAAATATTAGCTAATTTCAAAAATATATTTTATAAAATATCCTTAATCAATCTCACAGGAGTATATTACTTAGAAATTATAGAAAGAAAATATAAAGGCGCAACATTTTAAAGATATTAAAATCATAAAGAAATGTACTACTTAGAGCTTAGAAGGCCTTAAAAATGTGATATTTCTATGGCAATAATCATGCAATTCAATAACTTTATCAGTTAAAAATCAAAGTAACAAATATATTTATACAAAATACTTATTTTATATTTGGTTCATTTTATATAAAGATTCAAGGAATTCTTCTTTTTCGGGTTCACTCGGAGAGTGTTATAGGTAACACTTAAAAAAATAACGGGGAAGTTAGAATGGGAATTACACAACAAGGTAAATATGTGATTAATGCTTATGATAAATCACTATAGTTTAAAATATTAGTACAATTAATAGCTATATGTAGGGTTTTACAGTAAATTTTATCTCTCCTCTCTCCCGATTTCCCTTGCCTCTCTCCTCCCACTGTCCTCTCTCTCCCTCTCGCCCCTCTCTCTCCCCAGCCCAAACAACCGCAACCTAAAAAACATTCCACATAATATGACAATTTTTATTCTGCCAATTGTATTCGTCGATATAAATTGTGTTCATTAATACAATTGACACAATTATATTCAATGTATGATACAAATCAATTGTATTCAGACAATTATATTTATATGTTGTATCAACCGTATTTGTATTTTGTATCAATTGAATTCATGATATATTGAATACAACATGCATTCATCCTCTCTCTTCCCTCTTTCAATCTCGCTCGCCTCTCTCCTCCTAATGTGTAGCTAAATACAATACTTAATTTTTTATACAACTGTATTCATTTTAATACAAATCAATTGTATCAATTATGTTCGTGATACAACCTAATACAACGAATACAACAAGTATTCAACCTCTCTCACAAATCTTGCTTGTCTCTCTCCTCCCCTAAATATGTAATTATAATTCGTAATTAAGCAAACTATAACTATAGATCCTTAATTAAGCTCAAACTATCGTTTTTTTTTAAAGTTACCCTAAAAGTTACCGCACCCCATTCATTTCCTTAATTTGAATATTCTTCAATAATTCAAATGAACTAATGGTGTTTTTGGTATGGAAAATATTTTTCAATAAGTTAATTTTTATTATTTAATAAATAAACATAAAATATTATTCAAACAACATTTATAAATACAACTTAAAAAATATTATGAGAAAGTAGAAGTAGATGGTGGGGTGGGGTGAGAAAGATACAAACACGTATACTATTATTTACCGTATGAATTTTATTTTCTACCGTGTGCACAACTAAACATAAATATCTTATTTTGACGCGTTACTCTACTTTCCATTGAACTCTGTTTTCCTATAAATAGATAGATTCATTGTTGTGGAGCTTAGTCTCTTTTCTTTCTTCTCGGCACACAATGGAGAAGAAGATGAAGGGCAACATGCTAAATTACAAGAAGAAAAAAGAAACTATCAAGAAAAAAACTAGAGAGCTTTCAATCCTCTGTGACATTAAAGCTTGTGTCATTCTTGTTGATCCTGATGGAGAAGTAGATACATGGCCTGAAAATCCCACTGATTTCAACCCCATTATTCAATCCTATAAAGAAAATCTCTTTCACGGCAAGAGAAAACGAATTGATGATGATGGGTGTTTCCAGAAAAAGTCGAAAAAGAATCATGCTCTGTTTTGCGATGATGGTGAAGATCAGTGGCTTAATGACGTGTTTAAAGAGTCGAACGAAAGTTTGTTGGTGAAATTGAATTCGAAATTAGAGGCTGTGGAGAGAAGAATTGAATTCTTGAAGATGATGAATTATGGGAATGGGATTGTTGGAGGATCAACTTCAAGTGAGAAAGAAAGTTTACTTGCTAATCAAGAAACCCATAATTCAGATTTTGAAGTTGCAATTAATGGTGATCGATTTGAAAACAGTAGTGCTTATAATCAAGAAACAGAAATTGCTATAGCGGCTGAGTTATGGGTGATTGCTGGTGATGAATCTGCTCATGATCATGGCCAAGAAATTGATTTTCTGAGAGGTAATGCGACACTAAACAATTTGAATAATGTGTAGAATTTTGGGTATGATGATCACTAGTTCTGAATTTTTGAGTTGTATTGATTAAAATCATTGATCCATGTAGATTAACCTTTTTATTATTGTTATTGAAGATGATTACAGCCATTTGACAGAGTAAATTTGGTTTCTTTTCCCTTTGTTTCTGTTTAAATTTTCTATTGTTTGAGAATTCGGAAAATAACACTTGAAACCATAAGGCTAAAGTGATCATGCAAATTATGACCATATAAAAAAATATTATTTTGTATACCTCGTGAAGGTAGATATAGAGAGGAATACAACAACATCATATCCAATCAAATTTGATAAGTGGGATGTAGTTTTCCACTAGCTCGTGAAGGTAAAAAGGAGATGTTGCTTTCGAAAGACTTCACAGATCCACTTTAATAATAAAATACGATAGATAACAAAAGGAAAGTAAAATAAAAATGGTCCGGGTACGCTGATGTCACTTTACCTTCTCCTCCTACTTGAATATTCTTCGGTTGAAATAATATTTTTGTATCTAAAAAAAGAAATTGAAGGAAATACAGAATTGGTAGTCTATTGTTATGGCTAATAACAGTTTCATTTGTCTAAAATGATGGAGTTCCATCCAACTTTTTTTTAATTATTTATTATTTTACAAATTTGGCCCAATAAATACAAAGTATACTGTTGGGCAAGAGATTTTTTTTTAAAAGATGAAATTTGAGTAGTTTGTCTCAATGAATATTCACTTTAGATTGCTTAGTCCACCTCATTAATAAATATTTTGAATATAAATGTAAAATTTAAAATATTATTTTTTTTAACTATCATCAATATACATAAGTTACAACTTCGAGTGGAAAAAAGAAAAAGAAAAAGAAACTTGTAAAATTAAGTCAATATTGACATGGGCTTGTAAGATAATTGCATTCGAACGTCCTAATAGTGCTTGAACATTGGGAAAGTTGAGGCCCCATTCCAAAAAATTATTTTTTACTACACCAACATATTAAGTATAATTTTACAAATAAGATATGAAAATAATAGTGTAAATCTTACTCTTATTTTTATGAAGTAGAAAATTATTTCCGTTAAATACTTAACTCATGATTTATGAGTTGGGTATAACTATAAAAAAAAGAGAAGATTTTACATGTTGGGCCTAATAAAACCCAACAAAGTGGAAGCTCAATCAAATACAAGCACTTGTAAAACAGTGCCAATCACCGTAGTTGGTGTCCACATTCTAAAGGCCAATTTGAATTGACTTTTGGCTTATAACTTATA